GTAGTGACTTACACCCCTTCTTCTACACAAAAATTCTGTATGGAATATTTTGTTGCAGAAACCATATACATGTGAATTGCTCTTGAATAAAACAAACAAACAAACAAACAAAAAAAAAAACACCCAAAAACAAAAACAAGCAACCAACCAAATGCAAGAGTTATGTAAGTCTGATTTATAATTAGGGAAGGCTGGAAAAGGCCTCCCTGCACTGAGATTATTTACAGGTATATGGTTCACACTTGAAATACAGTCAGCTGGTGCTCTATACTATTGTTACTTTTGGTTGCCGTATAGCTTCAGTAACACACACAGTGGAAAATTCTACGTGGCTACTAAGCGGCACTGCAATGAAATAGATATATTGATGTCTTTCTCTTTTCACCCATTAACTAGTGATTGGACAAACTGCAAGTGAATAGAAATGTGATTTCTGTCCGCATACTTGGTCTTCTGGACCACGTGCCTTCCCACTGCTAATAAAGATAATGCCACCTATTTGAAGACATCGGCAGGCATATTTAAAACCCAAGATAAATTGAGCACATTTACTGTGTTAGAAGCAGTTGCTAAATTGTAAGTAACTAAGTCTTGTTGTATAACTGCATTGCACTCAAGGGAACAATTTAGGTTTTGAATTGTATATGTTGGTAAGTGAAAACTATGTAGACATTGATTATTTTTTCCCCTTGACCTAATCACTGTTTGCCTATGGCAATATCTGGTATGTTATGTGTTCACCGAGAATTGTCTTGGGACTACAATGAGGGATTTTTTTTTTTAGCTTCATTAGTAATCATAGTTACATTAGGAATAGAAGGCAATGGAGTGATATACTTGTATTGCACCACACCAGTTTTTCTGTTTATTGTAAAAATGGAAGTGAATTCTGTAGGTGGGAGTCAAGAGTTTCTATAGACAGAGGAGGAGACCATTTTTCAGCAAGAATTTAATTTTAAAAAAATGGAAGGCAAATACCTATTTAGATTATTTTTTTTTAATGTGTTGTGAAAGAATAGCCTTTCTTTGTTTCTCCTTATGTATTTATAGTCTAATATAGAACTGTTCTTGGTAATACTAGAGAATATGAAAATGATGCTGAGTAAAATAAAATTTAGTAATGTGTTTTTCATTGTCTGAATAGAACAAGCTGTCAAAAGTAAACAACATAAACAGTGAGAAGAATGTTTCCTTTTCTCCCCTATCTTGGGAGTCTGAATATCACCCTTTAGACAAAAATTTAAAATTCCAACAAAGTACCTTAAAGGTGTTTAATTTTTGACATACTGTCTATTACTTCAAATGGTAATTTTGTGTGTGTGCTAAAATGCTTGTCTGTAGTATAAGGGTTTATGCGAAAAAGGTAAAAGATTGAACTTTTATACCTAGAGGTCATGTAACTAGACACATGGACACTCTGCTTGTTCAGTAAAGTGTTAGCAATTTAAAAATTACCACATGAATACTTGTGTATTTGCATACAAAAGAGGCCATACTGTGGCCTGCCTAAATATAGACTTGCAGTTTGATATTGAGAAAATTCCAGCGCAAAACACCTTTTTCTCCATTGACTTGTCTACTGTCCACATTTTTTCCAGCTATGGAGCTGAGAGCTGAGCAGTTTTTATTTTAGCATAGAGCATTTATTTTGCATTATCTTTTCATATAAGTGCTTATATTATGCTTTGCTTTTATATATGTGATGGAGTATTGCCTTTTTTCCTTCCTGAACAGCAGTGACTCGTATGTAAGTGAATTTAGATGCTGCATTTGGAAGTGTGTGCTGCTGTTGCAGTGAGTACAGTTCTCAACTTGTAAGGTCCCTTAACTAGAAATGGATATGTAAAGACATGTTCAACTTTGGAAGCACGATGAGACAATGTTGCTTTGAAAAGATAGTTATCAAGAAATAGGGTGATGCTTTTGATGTTTGTATCCACATGAGGGAGACAGTGTGACAGGTTCATTTACCTTAATTGATGGAAAAAGTTGCCAACCTGAATCACAGGGTCGGAGAAATCACTGAATGCACTAGCTGTCTTTCACATTACCACCTCCTTCTGCTATTAACTGATATGCCTATACAGATTTTATTTTTCCCTCCTTAGATGTAACAGATCGAGATTTCTGAATTGTAAATGAAGCCATCCAACATGTCTTCTGAACTTTTTCTTTAAAACAAACAAAACCTTAGGGTGGTCATGGCTTTTTCTCTCTAGTCTTTGGACTTCTGCCCTAATATGTAATATAATATCTTTGTAGAAAACACTGACTCTTACCTTAGTGATTTGTTGCTAAGTCTTTATGGAAATGTTACTGAAAGTGGCCAGCAGAGTCAGTTAGCTATCAATGAAAGTCTCTTAGAGCTGACTTTCAGTATGGTAGATGTTTCTTTATTAGTTTTAAAATAATTGTTCTTTGGGTCATACACTACTAGGAAGCTCTGTAGTGATGAGAGGTCTTTCTCAAAAACCAATCACTTGTTTAGGGCAGCTCCTAGAAAATCTGGAACCTTGCCTGAAGATGCTTAACATTACCTGTAGGTAGCATTAATTAGCAAAATGTTTGGAACATACAACATTTTCTTGTGTTGTGTTTGACAGTATTGTGAAGAATTGGTTAGCGGGCATACTTACTGTCACTTTAGAAATGTCTATGGATCAGTTATAATTAAATAATTTACAGCAATATCCCATATTTAATTACTTATTGGTATTACTGTCCCCTTTTCAACCTTTGAGGGGCTTAATTACGATTAGCTGATATGTTCATACAGATCACTTTCATTGTTTACTAAAACCATGGCCAGTAAACTATTTCCTGATTTATATTTTGTAAAGTAGGGTTGGAATATTATATTTGGCTTTGAAGACAAGCCCGCATTGTTTATGAAGTGGCTGACTGGGTTGGTACATGAGGGGAAACAAAACAATCTCTAGCTTATTTCTGGTAACTAAAATGAACAATCTGTTTTTGTAAGTTTATACATTTTTGTTTCAACTTCTCAAGGTGAAGCAATGTAAATGTTTAAGCAACTTTATTCTTTCAGAGTTGACTTGGCATCTCTTGCTTTGCTTAAGCATGAAACAGATAAACTACCATTTGTCCTAATATTTTACACAAATAATCGTGCTGCTTCCAAATAAAACTAAAGTTTAAATTGTTCATATACAACTGAAAACACTGTATTTTTTTTTGCTTGTTTGTTGCTTAAAAAATTCAGAGAATAGTGTGGGACAACTGTTTAATCTGCTTTTATCACGTTTTTAACTGTTCATCGTGAGTGCTTCAAAAATACCACCAAGTACATCTAAATAGTGGTAGAGAAGGAGTAAGCTGTTGTTCATTCCAGTGCACAGTCTGGAGGTAATCATTTTTTAAGATTATCATGGTCTCAGTCTGTAATTTTTAAAAGATTCACTTACTTTGCACTTTTTCATTTATTTCATACGCTTTTATTGTCTACATCTCAAGAATCTAATGGGTTTTTTGTGCTAAGAGTAGATATTTAGTTACTGTCTCTTCCTTCCTCTTACCCAAGAGTTAACAATAAACCTATAAAGCAACGGCAATATGAAACAACTCACTGGCAGTAATTGAGCTGGAAGCAGGCTAGTACTTAACCAGAGGAATTCTGCTTTGGTGTGCACACACCTTAGAAGTAGCTGTTGGAAAATTAAAAAACTAAAAAATGCATATGCGGTCTTTTCAGGATAAATTTTCCCTGTAAGTAATAAAAGCACCTTCTTTTGACAGACAAGAGACTATGGGAACTTTAGTCTTGCATTAGGGGATAATACTAGCTTCCTTAAAATATAATTTCAAAGTTGAATTTTCTCAAATTCTGCATTTTCCCCTGCTTTGTCCTTTTCCGCTTCACCTCTTCCAGACTTTCTCTAATATTCACTCACGGCACAAACTTGTATACAGCATTATTATAGCCTCATGTTATAAAACTGAAAATTTAAAAATGAAAATAATGATTTATAATAAAAAGCCTGACAGACTAATTACAATATTGCATTAATTATCTTATTTCAGCTCTGTTCCTCTCACAGCTAATTCAGATCTGAGTTTTGGTGTTTTTTTAATCCCTATTGACACTGTAATTTTGAGAGTGAGAATATACTGGGGAACAATATATATAAAATGGAGAAATAAAAATTTTCAGATAAACAGTTGCTTTTTTAAAATGTTGCCTTGGACATGTTAGTAATAGAATGCAAGTAGTTCTGTTTAAATGTAATGCTTTGTGGATCTTCTGGTGAGTGTAACACCTATACAGTATATAATACAACTCTCAAAACCTTCCATTTCTGGATATGTTTATAGCATGTACTAAATAGCAGTCATTAATTCAGAAATTTGTGCATTGAACAGCTAAATTGGTACGTCATTGATGCATTTTATGTTCTGAGTTTTTTTTTTTTTCCCCAAATGTGTGCAATTCTTACAATGATTAAGGTGTAGATTGATGCCAGTGTTACAGTATAACTTCAAGACTTCAATTTGAAGCTACTTTAGAAAAATATAATTCTTTAGATATGGTGAAGCTGAAGTTGAATGAAAGTCATGTGAGTGGTGAATTACATGTAAATATTAATAAGGAAAGAGTTCATAGCAAGTCTTGTGTTGGGAAATTGAGCATGATAATTTGCTCAAATGATGTCTGTCTTGAATATATGCAGATGCAATAATTTTCAGTTTTTATTTGAACTTTTAAGTGGTGCAGAAGGTGCCCAGGTTAGTTTTTAATCAAGAAAGTGTTCGGAAGTTTTGGCAAATATCATTGTAATGGGTGTATGGTCATGAAGAAAGTTAAGATGAAAAATGAATTGGACTGCATGGCTGTTCAGTTATTTAGGCCAGGCTGGTTGCATGGTTTGGTTGTTAGAAGTCTCAAATTACGTTGCCTTGGTTCCTGTACTTGTTTGGCTGTCTTTACATCTTAAAGTTCTGGGAATTAATATCTGACAGTTTGCTTTGTTTTCCTTTTTCAGGAGGCTTCATCTGCAGACATTCGGAAAGCATATCGAAAGCTTTCACTAATTTTACACCCAGACAAGAATAAAGATGAAAACGCAGAAACACAGTTTAGGCAAGTAAGTGCAATGTGTGGCAATAAAAGCTTTAGGGAAAATAGAATTTTTTTATGATGATGCTATTTTACTAAGAATAATGGTACACCTTTGAAATTACAGAGTTGAACATTGAATTACATTTTTCCTGATGTAGCTAGATTAAAAACAAGTACACTTTTTTAATTCTTGAATAACTCCGATTTAGTATTTACCTATATGTTAATAATGCTTTGAACATAGTACTTAGACTTTTAGGAAGAAAATAGGTTTTGCACTTTATTTAAGACTTTACAGGGCAAGTTTCTGATCAGTTCTTGATGCAAGCCATATGCAGGCATAATTTATTGAAAATTATTTTAGGTTTTGAATTTTTGCCTTTTGAGTCTTTATGGAATGAAACCACGAGGCTGTTGTAATGAGCACTACCATTAAAAACATACTTCTGATGACTAAACACAGGCTACTTCATTTCAGTAAGATCTTTAGGATGAAACATATGATACCTTTTGTTTTTAAGGTGTAACTAAGACAAGACTCCGTTTGACAGCTGTGAGGAGGGGAAAAAAAGTCTTTTGTAGGAGCTGCTTGTATATTTGATGACACTTTGTATATGAATATGTCACTGTTTCTTTTGCATACTCAGTTTGCTTCTGAGCGTTTTAGGGAAAAGGGAAAACTAGCAAAGGTCATGTTGTCAAATGTAAAATATAATACTACTATTCAAACTTCATAATTTCAATCCTAAAGTAAACTCTTTTGTGAATTTTTTTTCTCTTTCTGTTTTTGTTTTAGTTGGTGGCCATCTATGAGGTTTTAAAGGATGAACAAAGGAGGCAGAGGTGAGTTAATTTGCATGGGTTCTTAAATAAAGCATTCATGACAGTGATATATTGAAGTCCTGTTTGACTTAGCTGTAACACTTAAGATGATTTTTTGCATAATTTAAGTTTGTAATTCCTATGTAGTTGTTTAATTAAAGATTGTATGTGGCTTGAAGGGGAAGTTGATACGTACTTTTGTGTGATATACTGGTTATTCTCCTTTAAAATTAGTATTTGAAAGAATTTTAAAAGCTAGCTGTTGTTTGGAGCAACATTTTGAACACTTAATAATTATATCACTTTTTGTTGTGTCAGTTATCATTGCTTGTTTTATTAAAGTTGTGGTTGAAAATATAGGCCACTGATTTAACTGTCAGTTGTATCTCACTATATCAGTAGAAGATTTGTTGCATGGGATTATTTCCAGTGTATGTCGTCTTCAACATTGTTTTCTGTTGCTTAGTTCACTGTTTTTTCTTTCAGATACATTATCTATAATACCATAGACTTTGTTATCGATCAATTTTTTTTTTTTTTTTTTTTTTTTTTTTTTAAATAAATGATAGTTGTCCTTGCTGCTTCAGGAGCAGATCCAGCAGTACCTGAAGGGGATAAGATTAAGAACTGAAAACCTGGGGCTGATCTGCTTTGCGGAAGACTGTTCTGAACTTTTTTTTTTTCCTAAGCAGATGACCATTTAAACTGATGATTATGAAGAAAACTGGGATACTGAAAGAGTTTTGCTTTTGGGTTTCAGTTTAGTAAATCATCTTTCTACTTACAAGTCTTTAACACGATATGTTTCTTGAAGGGCTTTTGTCTTTGTAGATGTCTTGGCAGGAGTCCAGGTTTTATAGTACAGATTATCTACTTTTTGATAATCTTCTCTTGAAGTGTCATGAAAACACACTTCATAGAAGTACTTATGGAAATCTTTTTTTTGGAAATCTTTTTTTTCACCTCTCATGAGAGAATTTCATTGTGGAGTTCTACTCAAGGAAAGTTTAAAAAAATTTGTTAGTTAAGTGATTTCAGACCACTTGAAATGTGAGTTATTCCCCAAATTTTCCCACCTTTTTGTTTATAACTGTTTATACATACTTCATGATCTTGCCTCTCTGAAACTTATTTCTAGCATGGAACTTCTAGGATTTTCTTTGCAGCTGTAATAGCAGCTTTTTGCATGGAACTGTGATGCAGTAGCTTGTAAAAACTGCATTTTTTAAGCCTTGTATACATTATGAATGTGACTAACTTACCCAACTTGTTTGTGAGAATATTGTTAATTAGTGCAGCATAGTGATTACAAATGAGAAGTTAAAGCAGCAATAGATTGTTCTAGCTTACATTGATTTCATTGTCAATAACTTATGTTGTAAATAGACAATGTTGTATTTTTCTTGCGCAGTTTGGATATATAGTTGATGTTGCTTCTCTAATTGATTAAATATAGACGTAGTAGATTAAATAATGTTTACATTCTGGAATTTTCTAGAATTTCCTGGAAATCTAGAGTTTAGAAGTAACATATATAGTAGCAGAGATATGTGGTCTCAATGATTTGAGAAAACCTTTATTGATCAGATTTATCCCACAGCTTAATGATAAACTCTGATTTGAGCTTGTAAATGGAGGATGTTCTGTCCTGTATCCTGTAAGGCATTGTTGTAGCATGTCTATAAAGCAAGTCTTAATTAGGTGTGCTAGGAGCTGCTCCCTCTGTAATATTGTTTCCGTTGTAACTCGGATTTCTTGCAAGCGTACAGCAAAAGAAAGGGGAGAATCGTTGCTTTTTGGGATCTTGCTACTTTAGATGTTGATGTTTGGCTATGCATTGTATGAGGTGATGGACCTAGTGGAACAGGCTCAAAGTTTACTGTCATGCTCACACACTGGGGAGAAACTGTGCTGCACCCTTCATCTCTTAGGGCTCATCAACTCAGTTTTATCCTCATTCCAGAAACACTTATTTAGGTCTGCTGTAACAAGGCTTTCTGCCCAATTCCTGGACCCCTCCTTGGCAGTGTGGTAGTTTTTATTTTTGAAGTAACTAGAAGACCTGATGGGGTTCTAGTTCAATTTCTTTGAAATCAGTTGGCAAGAAATTCTGGCAGTTTAGCTGGGAATCCCTTCACAACTGGACACCTAAATGTTTTGTGACATGGGATTACACCACTTCCAGGAGTGAGCTGCAGGCTCTTGTTTCTCTACAGTGAAGTCAGCTGTACCTGCTTCTTACTGTTCATCTCAAGTGGTGTAATCCAGGATTGGTCCTGGTGTGCATACAGAGAGTGGAACCAGTAAAGGCAGAATAAAGTCCTGCACTGTATGAGTGAGTGATTAACTCATTTTGAAACACTAAAACTGGGTCTAATTACACCCTCCCTCTATGTCTTGGTGAATGTCAGTGTTAATTGTTTGTGTGCGTGTACAGAAACAAGGTTCTGAAAAGGCGGATCTGTTGGCCAGTTATATGTAATTTTCTAAAACCTTTGTATTTTCATATTTATCAGTGAATTTTTACTTTACCTGATGGCAGAAGCCTTTGTTAAAATATTATGGTTCCTCTACTGGCACTTATAATACAGGGATTTATGATTAAAATATGGTTTGCTTTTTTGAGAAAGTTATATAGTTGCTTGTGAAGTATACTAATATTATTTTTAGTACTACAGAATATAGTAATATTACTGTCTTAATACTTTTCTCTTACACACTTTGATACATAATCAAAACATTCTAATATAACATTAAACATACATGCAACATTGTTTAATGGAACAGTGTTTAACATTTAATTAAACATACATGCAGCAGAACATAATATTTTATGTTCTGTATACACACTGTAGAGTGTGTGAAATTTTACAGAAAAGTTTCTTTAGGCTATGTAGAGATAGGTGCACTTCCTGTAATACACTTTACTTTAGGACATTTATTGGTAAATCACCTCGATGATGATAAATTTTATTTGCCTTAGATTATTTTTAATTTATGAAAAAGTATACAGTTTTACACACTTCTATTAATTGTAATTAGGCAAAAATCTTAGATTTTAATGTCATTGTTTGTTACCAATTCAAGGAGCATTTTTACCGACCAGGCATATCCTCAGTAACAATGTGGGCTTGATTACAGGAAGCATTTGCAAAGGAATCAAGATATACTTGTTTAGAGTAAGAAAGGTGTTTATCTTAGCTCTCATTATAATTACATGTCTGTATTCATAGGTATAAATTGTTCTGGCTGATGTTGCACTGGATGTCTTTGACAGCTTGAGGAAAAAAGGCCCCCAAAATAAAAAAAATGCCAGTATAGTTCCCATAGTTCAGAATAGATGTCATTAGTTCAAGGTTATAGTATATAAACTGTATCAGATCTCTGAAATTATGTGAAACATGAAATGCAGTGGCTCTCTTAAATGGAAAAGTAAATTATATTAAAATAGATGATGCTGTAATTAGCTACTACAGTTAATGGATTGCAATGTAATTGATTCTACAAAGAGCTCTGAAAACTGTTTAATGAAACTTTACAGAAGAATGAAACTTTAATAATCTTGCAATTGGTTACTTGTTAGTACAAGACTAATAAGTCTTGTATAGAATCCTGAGTTTAAAATAAAGATTCAATCTAAGTTTATAAATGGGGATATTTTTTTTTTCTTTCTTTCTTTTTGTTTCTGTACTGGTGCTTTGGGGTTTTTTAGCTTGCTGACTGCTACATTCAGAGGCAACTGGCAGGCATACTCATACGTCAAAGATTTGCTGCATTCTATGTACATGTGTCTGAGGGAAAAAGTACTGCAGATGCATTTTTTTCTTTTCAGCTTGATTTTTCCCCCACCCCCCCCCTTATAGAGAGTAACAATTAATATAGGTTGGCAAAAGAATGTTTTGTAATTATATTTTGACTGTAGTTCTTGATGCATGTGGATTAACTATCTTTCATAGTTAATATAGGTTTCTATAAAGAAACTTTTTAATGAGAAACTTGCTTTTAATTAAACCACATCCTAAATTTGGAAATCAAGATTTAAGAATTATGGGAAGCTTCTGAGTTTCAGTAGGATCATTTTCCAGTTGAAAACCTAAAAATCATTGATATCTTTATTTTTCAAATACAGAGCTTAATTACTTATTGAAAGCAGTGATTTATCTTTTTAACAGTATATATTCTAAAAAGTGGGTTATAATAGAAGCTATCTTCCCTTAAAATGGCCAGTCGTGTGAGCCATAATGCTCATTGATAGTAAAATCAATAGAGCATTGATTCTGAGACTTAATCCTTGGAGACTGTTGTTCAGAACAGCAGACATAGCCTAGTAAATATAGAGTGCTGTTTAAAGTGTTTAGTGCAAGAGACTCTGCTGTCTTAATTTATTTTTTCTTAACAGATAATTTATAATAGAATGTGGTTGCCAAAGGTTAGTTTGCAATCTTGTTTTACATACTACTGTATTGCTTATTTAATCAGTAGCCATGTTTCCAGTACATCAATTAACAAGCCGTAGTGTATAAGGTAGGCAAGTGCTTAATAAATTTGTAGTAGTATTAAGTTCCTCATTGTGTCTACATATATTTCTCTGAAGTTTTCAAAGGAAGAACATCTTTTGTGAAATCTTGTTATCAACCAAATTTGTTTTAAAAATGGTTTTGTTTCTAAAGCTTTTTCTTGTATTCTAACAATAAAATATTTAGCGAGTACATTATTATTTTTAAATGCTAAAACTTCTACTTAATTCTTAAACAAAAAGTGAAGTCTTAGTTTTGACATAACATCCTAAGCAATTTTTCTGAACAGAATTTGTGTTAAGAGTTAAGACATCAGTAGTTAATTTCTTCTGATTTACTGGGAAAGGAAAAAAGTTACTACTTCAAATTTTACCATAACAGATATTAATGTTAGTATTCTCATAGTTGTCATGGAAGATGGAGTTTTGTAATATGAATTTTAGTTCTGGTAGCATTTAGAACACTGCAGAATCCTGAGGTGTTAAATCTCTTGCATAGAAATAACAATGCCAGCTTGAACAAATGTTTTATCAGAAGTCAGCTTTTCTAGATGCACTGAATTAAAGTATATTTTTTTCATTGAAGGCCATTGCCTCTTTTTCTGCTTCAAGAAAAAAATGAATTTGCTTGTGGAAATTTTTTTTAGTACATCTCCAAGGTATCAATTTAATAACTATCAAAGTAGCTAGTGCAGTTGTTGCATTTAAATTGATTTACATGTCAAGACTGGCAGTTTAGCAGCTGCGCTATTATTCCTGGATTGGTCAATTTACTTGAGAAAAACCTACTACTGAGTTCTACTGACCTGCATGACAATATAGGCCCTATTTCTATTCCTGTAATTAGGCCTGCGACTAACTCAGAATATTTTTAATTAAAATATTTTGGTCAATGTGTTGCACCAAATTAGGCCTTTCAGTGCAGATTTAATTCTGGAAATGGTGTGATTAGAATATGTAATCAGTTGTGTTCAATTTAAGATTAACAGGTTGTGCATCTTGAACATACAGGTTTTTGAGTTTACTGTAGAGATTTTTGTTTGAAACTTTACTCTGGACAGTTAACAAATAGAAAAATCTGTTTTGCATGCCTGTGATTTGTTGATTTTTTAAATTGATAACATACTGTAAATAAAAGACCCCAGACAAACGAAGATATTTCAGTACATTTGTGTGAAGAAAAACTGACAAATTGTCATAAAATATCTGTACAGCCAGTAGTGTTAGTAAAATTAAACAGCTTTAAAATAGATTGATTTTGGAGACAGCTTTTCAAATAGAAAATCAAAATTGTCTAGCTGTGGTGAACTTTGTTTTTGAACGTCAAAATCAAGCCTTTAACTTAAATTCATGTCTGACACAGAATGGATGTTAAGTCTGGCAGCATTTTTACCTAATGGATATCGTGCTACTAAAGAACAAAACAAAAGCAAAGATACCTCTCCCCTCCCCCCAACATTTGTGCTTTTAATTTGTAAAAGAAAAAAAGGGTTTCTAGTGCTTGCGACTTTTGTTCTCTGGTACCAGTTTAGTAGTTTGTGGCTTGTTATTCACTTCTGTTGTGGAGACCTGCTTGCTGATTACTAGGCAGGTAGAACACACCTGCATTTCTAGAAGTCTGTTATTTCAGAAGTGAATGAACTGGAGGAGGGATGTTGCAGGAGCAAATTACATTCCGCTCCACGCTCAAGACTAGATATGTTTCCCCAACATTGAGTTCTGGATTCCATTCGTTTCCAGATGAAGCCTAGAAGCTGACAAAACAAGGCATTGCTCTCTAAAAAATAAATAAATAAAGTATTAGTAAATGATCATTTGTGTGTGTATTATTCAGGTGGTCTGTGGACTATCATTTGTTTTGTTTTATAATTGGATGGTTTGGCTTTAATTTTTAGTGCTCCATGAAAGCCTGTTATATTTGCTACTGTAGGTATGATGATATTCTGATCAATGGACTACCAGATTGGCGACAGCCTGTATTCTACTACAGGCGGGTGAGAAAAATGAGCAATGCTGAGCTGGCATTACTCTTGTTCATTATACTCACAGTGGGTCATTATGCTGTGGTTTGGTCAATCTACCTGGAAAAACAGCTGGTAAGTATTGGTAATAAATCAAACTTACTTCAATTATTAGTATTGAATTTCCTGCAGAACTTTGCACATTATAGGGATTTCTACCACTTCCCCTATTTTGAATTTGGATTTTTCATACTTTAAAAGGATTATATTAATAATGGTGATTAGTTATAGAACAAGATATTCAACATATCAGAAATAGTAATCTAAAAACTACTTGATTTTTCTAGAATTGGTAATAAATAGCAAGAGATGATGCTTTGTTTTTTAACAGGAAGGAAGAGGAGGAATAAAAACCCTCCTGTCTGCTATTGATGCAGAATCATATGCCACTGTAGTCATGTCTATGGTTTTCCTAAGTGTTGTTTAAAAATAATCAGCTTTTATTCATTTCAGTCATACTTGCTTTGCCTTTGTTCTTAGCTAAATGCTTTTTTGTTTTGGGTTTTTGTTAACAGCATAGGCATTGGTAAGCAGTATAAACCACATAAGGTTTTGATTATTTTATTTTTTTGTCATATAAAAATCTATTGCACTTAGACTAGAAAAAAACCCCAAGCATAACTTGAAAAATATTCATATATTAACATCTATTTACCTTTTTTTTATTATTTATTTTCTACTGCATTATTGAAGTTGATGAATGAGAAAGGAGGCAAGCTGAATGCTTTCTCCTCTTAGAAAACTTTGATTGCTATGGAGATACACATGAGTGACAGAACTGGACTTCATGTGTGTTTAAAGACTGGATACCATGGCAACAGTTATTGTTAAGATAGATCATTTTACTTAATCATGTAGGACCCCTAGATACATTTGCATAAACGCTACTCTACTGTTTACCCTTCATGGAAGAGTCCCAGTAACATTTGTAGTTTACATGTTAATGATAACCTGTAACCATAGTTCTTTCTACATCAAGGATGAACTGCTTAGCAGAAAAAAGAGGGAGAAGAAGAAAAAAACAGGCGGCAGGAGTACAGATGACGCCAAACTTGCTGTTCTAGACAAAAACGAAAGGTGGGATGGAACTCTCTTGTTTTCTGCATTTTAAGATATTTTATTAGCTACTGGTTTAGTTCTATCATTTTCTCCTTGCATCTTTGAAATATTTTATGAGTAAAATAACTATTTGTAGTAACAGCCATTTCTCATATAAAGTGTGCCAGTGTAGATGTGTTTTCAGGTTTTGATTTGTAAATAAATGTGTGGTGTTTATTCAGCAGATCAACAATAATGGAAAGATTAAGGCAGAATTAATGGTATCTGGCTTATAGAAGGGTGTTATTTCTACACGTTGTTTTTAGAGGATTTTACAACTTTTTCCATCTTTGAAAATTTTTACCTTTGATTACAATTAACAAATTTCAATTTATTTAAGCTTTAGTTTATTACCATACCAAGGAAGGAGTTTTTATGGGGTTTTAATGCTTGTCTGATTTAATGCTTTTTATCTGATTAACTTAAAAACAAGCATGCTGGTAAAGGCGTCTAATACCATTGTTTGTTAAGAAACACGTAGGGGAAATAGTGACTTTCAGGACACTCCAAAAGATACCACCATTTCTTCTATTGATTCATAGAAAGAAATAAAGGGTTTAAATAGTTCACACAGCAGGGGCATGAACTGGATCAATGCAGGATGGAGATCAGAGACCATTCTGCCTGTCGTCTCTCCTGATGACATCAGTGAGTAATGCTCCAGTGAACTGCAAATGACATTAATTTTTATGTATTGTTTTGTTTATGCTACAGTCTTCATATCTGGTTGTCAGCACTTGTGAACACTTGGTTGAGGCTTGAGGTTTTCTTGGTTTTGTTTTGTTTGGTTGGTTTTGTTTGTGTTGTTTTTTTTTTTTTTTAAACTGAAATGATTATGGGGCTTATGCATTTACTTTCTTGAAGAAAAGTTCTTTTTAAGAGTTTAAAATACAGTGATGATTAGAAATTATCTGTTACATAATTTGAATTAAATATTCAAAATGTATTTTTAATATTATGTAGTTACACATTTTTATAGGAGTTAACAAGTGGTAATCATCTTAAAGGATAACGGGAAAGTTCTGACTTTGAGATTGTGTGGCAGTAACGAAAAACTTAGTTTTGTTTGACTGCAGAGTACTGGACAGACCACAGTGGCATGACTTACTTCCATGCAAGCTGGGAATATGGTTCTGTCTCACTGTGAAAGCTTTACCTCAGCTATTCCAGGTAAATAGTAATGATTTTAAGTATATTACTTTATTTTTCTTGATGGTGTTATTATGCATAATCAGATGTGTAGCACTTGTTCTTAAGAATTTTTTGACTCTAGAACATACCACATATATTTATATATATATACATACACAAATATATATATATATATATATATAAATATATATATATATATAAATTACTCTTTGGAGGCAAATTTAATATTGTAAGTTCATCAAAATATTCTTGTATTTTAAATGGATATTAGTCTTAATGTGCTAGGGAATTCAGCAGCAGTTCCTATTAGGCAAAATTATAAGAATAAGTGAGAGAGGTGATGTATATACATATAATTAGGAATAGCAATGTCTTTTAAGCAATCTGTTAAAAAAAGTATTTTTATCTCAAATAAGCAAATGCTATGTTTTCATGGCAAATGTTATGTCATTTAAACTTGGAGAAACAGTGAAATTACTTTTTCTGATTGAGTGAGCTTTTTTGTAAGTCACTGGATAATGATATAAACTGTTACCTGAAATTACTAAAGTAACGTAACAAAGGTATGGTTGTTATTTATAAACATAAATGTGTCAGACTTGCCCACAGTCGTGGTTTTTTAATTTAATACTAAAAACTGTAAAATGTAGCTGATACTCGGCCAGTGTAAGTAATGTCAGATCAGTTCTCGGAATAACTTTTTAAATATCACATACTCTCTCCTCATTTCCCTTGAATATACCTATTTGTTTTTAATACCCTTGTCATTGCTAATGAATATGGATCAGGGAATGTAAGGTGGTTTTTACTTTGGTTTATGGAAATACTGAGTATTGATTCTGAAGATAAATATTATAAATGGCATCAGTGTTCAATTTCTGTCTGTGTTCAGGCTGGAAAAAACATATAATTCCTAATCTGTTAGCGAAAGGCTTGTAAAAGTTTTAAATGCAGTAAACTCTGCTCTTTCAGCATGCATTTTTATAGATTTAACTTTTCCTACAAAGAGATGCAAAAGTTAATATTTCTTCCTCTTTTAAAAGTTTCATCAGAATTGTGTGGCTATTTTATTAAAGGAATCTTTCTTTTTGCAAGTTTTTAAAGCAAAAGTGATGGTGCTTAATTAAATCAACTGTTGTGTACAAATTAAGCTTTGGTGTACATCCCTCATTGAGGTGGGTCAGATGGAAAAGAATTAAGTTCAGCCATTGCTGTTGCTGCATTTTTGACACTTTCTTCATAATTGTAGTACTTTCCCTTTTGCCTTAATTGCAGAATATTCAAAACATTGCAGAATATAGTAAGATTCATGAGGAATTTTAAATTAGGACTTCTTATAATCTTATAAGTGATTTTTTGCACTTTGTAGACACCTAGCCAATTCTTCTTGCTATGGATTTAAAATCCATTAAATTAATGGTAGTGGAAAAGCAGCTATTCAATAACTCATGGAAAATTGGAGACTAGAAAGCAGGGATTTAGTGGCCAGGGAAGCATGATGTAGAGGAATTAAGAGCAGGAAGGCTTTGGAGCAAGGAGGAAGTGATGAGGTGGGGTTCTAGAATAAATTACTCTGTATGTAAATTACACTACTGCTTAGCTCCAATGTTTGTTTTCTTGCTGTTTAAGATGCCCTGCCAATTATGTAAGTTAAAATGCAGTAAAATATAAGTAATCTTCAATATTAAGAATATGCAGGACTTCAGGTAACTGATATAAATTATTATAGGTTATTAATTAACAATACTTAAAGAAGTATTACCTCTTCTGAAGAGCGTAAGAGCAGCAGTGACCTCATGTTGGAGATGTTTTCTGAAATGACAGTGCAAAAGATACTCCTTATGTTATAGCTACCTGGACAGATACACCTCTGGCTCTTTTTGAGTTGTATTTAAGGTTTTAGCAAGTTCTACGTTAATTACAATTATCAACATGTAGAAGAAAAGTAGTTGTACTTACATGATTTTACCCTCATACAGAAATCCTGTTTTGAATATAAGTGCTTTTCTCTTTAATAATACACTAACATAGGCTTGAGATTTCAGAGTATTTCAGGCTTTTAGTATAAGTAGAATCACTAGGGCAGCTTATCTAGAAGATAAGACTCCTGCAGATACTGAGTAGTGTTATATGTGCTAGTTACAAATACAAATTATTTAACAAGGTGTTACAGTGGTTTACATAAGGATGGGTGTTAAGGATTTTAGTTGTTTATTGAGTTAATTTAAATTATTTCTTCAGTCATTTAAGAGCCAACAAATTATTTTTCAAAGTTGGCTGTCATTTATCTGCAAATAATGCAATTGTAGATCACCATCTAAAAATGCATCCATATTTAAATGAACCCTGTTTGGGAGAGAAAAGGGTAAGAGGTAGCAATACTTTTAATTAAATGTTGCTTTTGCCGCTCAGTTTTTTCCAAAACCCTGTCAGTGAAATAGCTGAACTACTTCCTCAAAATAAGGAAACAAAACCACCTGCCTATGTACACAAGTTTTTCATCAAAGGGAACTTTATAAAAAACCCCACAACAGCAACAACAAAAAAACCCAACAAAAAACACCAAGCCAAACAAAACAAAAAAACAAAACCACAAAAACCAAACCAATAAAACAAAAAATACACGGAGAGGTCAATTTAAACTTTTTGCCAGTTCTTGTATTGTATCCATTTCTTGCCCCCAATTCGTTAATGTGAATATTCTACTTATAACAGCTCTGTCTGAGGGTTCAGGTTGCTGAGCTTCTGCCCATGCCTGGCTCTCATTTATCCAATTGAGTGTCTTTTTCCTACTTCCCCTCCTCCTTCAAAATGTCAGATTTCAGAAGGAGGCACTTAAAATAATTAAGGTGGGCCTTTACTGAAGAAAAATGCTTTGTTTGCATGCCCTTGTGATGGCCTATGCCATTTTATCGTAGTCTGCATTTTCTGTCAAGAAACTGGAAGAAAAATGGGTGAGAGGAGGATGAGAGAAACTACAAAATGATTGGTTTTTTAAACTGTTGACAATTGTATTTTGAGAGACTACATAGGTTTTTATATCCACGCATTTAGTTTAGTTAAATTTGGGGGTGAAAATGGCATCTTTAAGGTTGTTTGAAGGAAGTGAAGGGAAAAGAATACATAAAACATATCATAAATCAAATATCTATGGTGTGAAAGAAACATTAAGTGGAGTGTAAATTACTTTGACTATTACCAAGTTTAATTCTTATAATGTATGCTCAAGGAAAAGATAGAAAAAGAATGCAAATTGTTTCTAAGGTCATTTATAGTTTACTCTTTCATGAGAATGACCTGGAAGAAGGCTATATATTTAAAAAAAAAAAAAAACAAAAACAAAAAAACCACCAAACAACAAAAAACCCCCCAAACTCAATTAAAATGCTTATTGGAACTGAAAATTGTTCTTACAAAGAAATAAACCAGCTAAATATAGTATACAGGGATTATAGTTCAAATGGTGAATGTAATACAGGATAGACAGTTGTGTTAAGTATACTATTCTTTTGTGGGAGAACAGTCATATATAAATTGCAGTTTATTCCCAAAACAGCTGACTAGTGTTTTTTCTTTGGATGTGCAGACATACAACTTAGTGGTCTTTCTTAAAAATGTTGTTAATTATTCTTCACAAAATATTTCTTTCAGAAAACTGAAGATAGGAGTGTTTGTTAGTGTTCCTGTCAACTACTTTTCCTCCACTTTGATCTGGTGAAGCTTAGCAATTAATGTCTTTATTTTTATACCAACTTCATTAATGCCAGTCAGCACTAGGCAATACTTTTTATTAGTTAAATTATGAGCCTTCTGTTGTCCCAAATGTAATGAAGTAGAAAGCATTCTTGTTTGTTTCAGACAGGAATGGATTCTTGTTAAGAAAATAATGTTTCCTATTATCTTCTCTCTATAATAGGATAGGGTAGGTGTAGTGCATACACCCTAGCAGTGATCTGTTGGAAGAACTTCTGGTGGCTCGCCTGTAATGAGAAGGCAATTCAAGCTCAATATATAGTTGCACTGGGTATAACTTAGTGAGATTATCAACAAAGCTTTCAGTTACAATGGAAACTTTTGTTTATTAAGACCTTTGTGTAGCACAAAGTGAATTAAAACAAAAAGGCCAGTAATTTATTTTTATGTAGACTACCAGATGGTAATTACTGTAGCTGATTTAGTAGCCTGGAATAGATTCAAACTAGTGACCCAGAGGTGTTTAATTTCTTGGCATTTTTTCCTCAGGTTTTCTTTTAATCCATGATTACATTTCAACACCTGTTTAGAGATGGTTCAGCTTTGGCCTTAAATGGATTGGCAATGTGTTATTAAACTCGAGAGGCTTTGCCAGCAGGGCATCTCCTTTGGCAAAGTTAGCTTTTAAGCAAGATTTGATTAGGTCAGCAAACATTTATGTGGGTTGTTTTTGTCTTCAGATATGACTTTATATAAAATCAACGTGTGAGATTAAAATAAATGTATTGCATTTAATAATGTATGCCTTAAAAAAGAGATTTTCTTTTTTTGAAGGGATTTATTCAGGTCATTAAGGTTAAATATTTCCTTAATTCTGAGCTTTAAAGGGTTTTGAAGTATTCCAACTTACTGTACAGCATCAATGTTGGTACAAATTCTGGGGAGCGAGCAATTGCAGGATGTGTGGCACGAGTGATAGTCCATTTGCTCTCTTTCTTGCTATTTTGCAGCTGTTGGGAGAACCAAAGTAGGGATGAAGCTCTTGACCCTGAGGTCAATTAGAAGCTTAGAAGCAGGTCAGAGGAGAATAGATGGTAAAACAAGTATTCTGGGTGTATGCAAGTGAGCAAAAATAATTTGCGTCTAACAGGGTACTGTCTGAGGCTCTGGAAACAAATGTGCTTTTCTGCATAGTAGAAGTTTTGAGTAAATGTAAGACACTAAAGCCATTTGCCTTTAATTGCCTGCTATTCTGTGGCAGACAGCTTTGTTCTGTTCCTTCAAATCACTTACTGTATGTCTGCATAACCCAGCACACAGGTTAGAGGCGCGTAGCTCCAGGAGTAGCTGGTGTGTATGAGGTGGTACTGGCTCTCAGTGGTGCCGTTCTGCTGCAGTATGAGACTTCATGGGGTGGGAATGGGTCCCAGGGAGGCCTTGCAGCATCGACCTCAGTTCCCCCTTCTGGCTGCCTTTGTTTCTCCACTGTGGATGTGGAATACCCAGCAGATAACTGCAGTAGCACAGCCTGCTGCTGATCACCCTGTGCATCCGAGGCTTGGGCACCACGCTTCAACTGCCCACAGTTGAAGAGCCTGGCCGTACCTGGTGTTATTCCAAGGGCAAAGCATAATTTTCTGATTATAAAGGAGGAAGTAATGCAACTCCTATTTATTTACTAGTTTGCCTTTGAGTAAGCATGTAAAAATGCCAGAGAAATAAAAATCATCATGTTTAACTGTTTTTTTTAACATTATTTCTTACCGTAACACATTGATATTTTTAGTTTATGAACCCATCAAATGAGTGTTTTTGCTGTGGTCTACTGGCTTGCATAGAAATAGCAAATTGAATGTCAGATGTTGCGGTAATTTTAATTTGACTACTGCTTCTCTCCCTTTTTTTGGTACCAGTTGTACAAGAGCACTGTACTCCAAAAAGACAAAAATTTAGTTCAAGAACTTTGTACAAATATTTGTCTTTAATTCCATAGAGTGCTTGTAGGAAAGTTTTCAGGTAACTGTAAATTCTGTTTGTATCAGTCCCTCACCCAGAGAACTAAAACATGAAGCTGATTCTTCATCACAGATTTTGTGATAGTTTCACATATGGCAAATACAGCAAGTTGTTTCCAACCTTTGCCCTATTTTTCCTGACCTCTAATCTTTGAGGTAGACCACAAAGCTGGGAAGATTAACTGAAGGGGAAAACCAAAACATAACACAAAGCAAGCAAACCAACAAAACCTCATCACTCTACGCAAAATTCAAGGAGAGGCCGGAGTGACTGAATCTTAGTCAGAACTGAAGTTTTTAGTTCCAGAATTAGTACGGTTTGAATAAATACTGTATCAGTTGGTTTAAAAACAGCAGCCAGACAGATAAAACAAAACAAAACCCCCAAACAAACAAATTAAAAAACCAAACAAACAAACCAACAAACCCTAAAAGTCCAGTATCAAGAATTTCTGTATTTTTGCATAACTTAAGTACAGCTTTGGCTGGGTAGCCTCAAATTTATTAACATGAGGTGATACTGATATAAAGAGGAACTGAAATACAAGAATTTTTCAGTATTCTTGGTTCTCATTTGTGGTTAAAATATTGAAAATATGTTAGTTGTTTGTCAATTTTTATTTTTCTTCCACAAAACTTCTTGAAATTTTGGTTAAATATGAGGGTAGTCACAGGTACTTCCTATACATGGGAGCTGAAACACAATTTAGAAATACTAATAGCAGAATTTTCCATTTCTAATACTGTCTTTTTTCATTCTGTTCCTTTTTGGAAAAGCGTATATTTGAAATCATAGTATAATAGACCAGCATATTTTAGCACTCTTCATTATTCTGTTTGCTTAACTACGTGCCTATTACTGTTTTGATGGTGAAGAAAAGTAATGTATTTGTGTTGATGTTCTTTTTTGAAAACTTCTCAAACTCCTGCAAATGAGAACAAAGTATTTCTGATTAGGTAGGCTGGAGCTTTTAGTTAGAACAGTTCCAAGCTTTGTATTTGTGTGTCTCTCTTTCTCTGTCTCTTCCCACCCCCAGAAAGACAAAAATAGTGCTTTTCTTATGTTTATTACTGATTGAAGATGAAGTATACATCGCGTATAAAATTTTGATATTTTGCATATTTTGAGCTCTTTGGGGAAAGATCTGCTACAAGAAAAATAATTACTGAATCTTGGATGAGCATTAGATGGGAAGAGGCTTTATCTATATTGCCAGTGGTTTTAGGGCCCTAAAATATTTGTACTGAGGTGAAATGACTGCTTAAATTTACCACTTTAGAAAAGTAAAAAATCTAGACAGAAATCTATTTTGAAATACTCTATTACCAAAACTGAATATGCTTGAAAACTCATATTCTTGTTTAGAGTGATACTATTGAAAGGTAACGAGGAGCAAATTAAAATGTGCTTCTGTATGTTAAGGCAGAAGTTTTCTTCAAAGAACTTCCTATTTTAAACTGTTTCCCAGTGTGTTTTAATTTTTACTTATAAGGTTTAATACCCATATAGTCTGTTTATGTGGCTAAAATCTTTACGCAGGTGTGTCTTTTAATTTCTCTTTACAACCCGTAGAGCTATTTCTTACGCTTTTGTGGGAAGGATTTGATTTTCAAATCTTAAAAATCCATTTTGATTAGATTTTTTTTTGGTTGTTTTTTTCTTTGCTTTATTTTATATGTATACATTTTTTTATGTCTACTTCAGAAATGTGCAGTCTCCCCTTTTTTGTGATTATGGTATCAGCCATAACAAACTGTTATTAATAAGATAAAGGACTGGTATTGCCTTTGTTACCTTCATATTAATCCATTTGCAGTGATAATCCATTTTATATCTATAAAGCAACAATACTACTAAATTTCATTTACGTGCTTCTGACTAGTTTTCTTTGTTGTTCAGCTAGTGTGTCTCATTTTCATCTGAGCAACATTTCCAATTGTTCTGTGATTGACATGCTGGAGAGATTGACAGTTACCCCCTAGTGCCTGCTGTCTGGAGATCCCACAAGCAATAATGGATTTTACACCAGAATTTAGCATCAAATATTGGCTTTCAGTGTCAAATGGGTTAAATTTAAATGCTGGTTAATTGTAGCCATTTTGAAATCATAGCCTCAAACAAAAGCATTTTTTTGGATATCAGTATGTCTGAGTCCTGTGTATGCCATGTAAACAAAATGTCTCAAACTTATAGCAGAAGGTAACCATTACATTATGGCTGTTTCTGTTTCTTAATAATGCAAACAGGCCAAATCTGAAGAGTACAAGGAAAGCTTCTATATGTGGTAGGGAATTAATATTTTGGGTAAATCGAAAAGAGAACCAATGTTGATTTCTAATTTTTTAATTCAGTGTTCTAACAGAGAAAGTGGATACGTTTCCTCAAAACCTTCATATCTGCTGTTAATGGTAGCCCTCTTGTACCTACACATGTTTTTTTAGCCCCGACTCTACTAAAACCACCAAAACCCCCTTCTTCCCTGTCCCCCAAAACAAAAGTGTGAGATGCTCTCATCTGTTATGTTCTAGCAGCAAAAAGTTATGTAAACTCTCTCAGATTTCTTCTGTGCACAGTGATCTCCTACATAAACCTGGCAGAAAAATATAACTTCCCATTTCCCATACCCAAATGTAAAGACAAATAGAGAATAAGAATGGTTATTTTGGAAGGAGATGAAACCTTACTGATCTTTTGTGGGAATTTGTCAGAGTTGTCCTCAGGAGCTCTGACTTACATTGATGAGATGTCTCCAAAATATTACAAAGTTCTGCTCAGAACTGGATCACGAGTCTCTCCTGTGTTTTCTCACCTCCCTCAAATATCTTTAAAGGCATAGATGCCTGTATAATGCAAAGAACAACTGTTGTGTAGTAGTGTCTTTGCAGGAAGCAATGGTTTTGGGTGACTTCTACCATTAGAGACAGCAATAATGACTGCTTAACTCCGTTTTTTATTTTCAGAATTTATTAAGATGTTTTACTTAATTTTTAATGAGTCTAGGTTTTGTTCAAATTTATGGGATTACAGTTGAAATTATAAAAATATTTACTTATGTTTTACAATATATTTTATATCAATTTTTTAATCCTTTATATGTAAAAAATGGGACTGTTAATGTAATAACAAGAATAAAATTATTTTTGGCTATAAAGAACTAAAATTATGTTCGTCTAATAATTAATTTTGATTTAATACAATAGATATTCTGCATGCTTGAAAATTTTATACGTAATACCATGTCTATTTCAGCATTTCTATTATAGATTTGTTGGGTTTTAATGAGTATAGGAATCTCTTAAACTGGTAAGTGAGAGTAAGAAAACTCTCCATACCTCTTACTTGAGTAATCTGGTTGTTCATATTTGAAAGCTTTCAGCACAAATCTATAATTACTAAATCATCAGATTTTGGAAATATGTACCTTATTGTGAGATTTGTGACAACACTTCTGGTTTTATGTGTAAATTTGCCAAATAGATTTCAGATTAGAATCTAACCCTGGAGAAAAAATTTAATATATATTTTCAGCACTTTAATAGCAATGTAGAAGCTGTTTAAAAAAAAAAAAAAAGTTACAAAATCCAACTTGTTATAATTTTTTTTTAACATACAGTTAGTGTTACCATAATGAGTTCACACTAAGAGTACTGCTGCCTAGCAATTGCCTTGGTTTGTCCTTTCACACACTACTCTAATTAAAAACTTCTCTTTCTTCCCTGAACTTCTAGATTGCTGATACAAGCAAAGTGGGTACATGGCCTCTTACAAAGCTGTTGGTAGTGATAAGAAATGTTTTTCTAACCATCTTACTTTTCAGGTTGTCAGTGAGCATCATAGTCTATAATGTCAATGCTGTTACATTTGAGCCTTTATTACACAAAAATTCTACATTCTAAACAAATACTTTCTATACTGAAAATTGCTGTAACTCAAGGAAACAAATGTATCTTGAATTTTTTTGCAAGGTTAATTGAGAACTTAAAACAGAGCCATTGCAATAACTTGTTTGTATAAGGATGCTAATGCCATTGCAACATTTTCTTAAAGGATGCCAGACAATTATATGTAGAATATAAAGAAACAAAAATGAAGGCGAGAGAAGATGCCCTGGCTAAGGCTGAACTTGAAACACTTCAGAGTGAGTTTTTACCACTGTATTAATAAAGATGTAATATGATATACCTACTACACAGGATGTATATGAACAAATATTTTTATAATCTTCTAAAATACATACTTTATATATTTCTGTAATGCTGTTAAATTTAAATAAGCTTTTAATTATGTGTCTAATTTTGCAGTAGGCTGCTGGCTTGTTCCTATAGAAGCATAAAACTCAGATGATAGTTATATCTTAACAAGAAAAGCATAGTGTGCTGGAAATGTTGTTTTGCAGGAGGGAGAAATCTCAAATGTATAGATCTTAAAGTATACATTTTCAGAAGTGACCTCTTGCATTTTGAGCATTCTCGTATTCTCTTTGTCCGCAAATATTTTTTTAAGATAATATGTTTAATAATTCTTTTGTGCGTATTGAGTTGATTTTTGTGATAGAAATTGGACGTAATTTGAATTGCCAAAGCATGGATGCAGACTTCAGAGATGGATTCATGCTATTGTTGAAATAAATGTCTTAAAGTCTTTATACTCTCATAAAAGACCAAATAAGGCAATTAGCATTTTCCTTAATAAAGTATTCAGAATAATTATAGGTGACTTTTTCTTTTCTTCTTTCAGTTATTTGCTCTTGACAGTCATTAAACCTACCCTCTTCTGAAGACAATTTAAAAAGTTTTCTTTGTCTGTGTTTGTATGTGCGTGCTTGCTTTATTTACTGTACTTAAGTGCATGCTTTTAAGTTCCTTTATTCTGACAACTGCATTGAGTGCCCTATAATAATTTACCAGCTTTGAGTATGCATAAGTCTTTAGGCACTTAAAATACAGCTGCATTATTTATATTTACAAAATTAGCTTAATTTTGTAAAATCGGCAAAGAGATCCAGTTTCAGCAATAATTCCCAACTTATCTGTAGCTGAATCTATTTTGAGAAAATGGATGACATTCAGCACCTCAGTGAGCATCGTGGACCCAGGCCAAATCTAGCAAAAGAGTGCACTTAATGCTTGTTAGGGAGGCCTGCCATTATGTTTGAGATACCTACCACAAAATGGGCCCTTCAAAAGGGTCTTGACTTGGGTTATTAAAAACTTGTTAAATTGTCAGATAGTAATGTATTGCCATTGTTCAAAATAGCTGGCATACATTCTTCATTGAAATCTGTGAGCTGCTGTTTTAGAAGGACTAGTTTTTGAAAAGAGAAGTGCAAGTGAAAGTATAAAGTCATTAAAATTGTAGTGTGCATGTTCCTGTGTTTCACTGAAGGACCACGTGTGAACTTTTCATTATTTCTCCTCTGCCAGGTATCACATGAGAGTCACTTTTTTTTTTGTTACCTCCAGTAGCAGTGCTCATATGTGAGGTGCAGGCTTGGCGTGCTTCCCCCTCCAGGTCACCCCTGACCTCTCATAGAATCACCAAACTGTCCCCTGCCATGCTGCTGGGTGCAACACGGCGTGTTATCCCCATGTCTGCCAGGTGACCTAATGTCATGCGAGCAGGGGCCAGTCCTCACCAGTCTCACTGGTTGGCATCCTGCCCTCCCTGGGTAGGCTTGCTGGCAGGCAGCAAGAGGAAGGATTGAGCGTCACCACCTGTAATCAGCAGAATTTGAAATTTGGCATGGAATTAATTTGGTCAGGCATAGCAGTGCTATCGTTGGGCAGCAGAATGAGTTGTAAGTTACCTTTTTTAAAATGAAATGTGACTCCCAAGAGATGTATCTATGTTACTGTAGGCAAAGAAAAAAAACCCAAAGAAATAGTTTTTTCCTGAGGCTTGCATGAAAAGCATCCGTTAAATTTGTTTATTTCATTATATTTTTCTCCGTTGTCACTTGACAATTAGCATAGAAAGGTTGTAAATCAACAAATGTGCATTTTGTTTGCCCTCATTCTTCTTAATTTTAGAGACCACCCGTGGAATGCAAGTTCATAACAGTTCCATCTATTTAATTGAGTAAATGTATCTCATACAGATTAGCAATAGCTGTTTTACAGTGCTTGTTTTTTCATGACCTAATTGCTAGTTTACCCCCATGTCTATCTGCTCTCCTGCTGAAACTGTGTGGTATTCCGTAGGCAGCTTGAACTAAAACCAGAGAAGAGTACTGGAGGAGGAAAATATAATTTGCAGAGTAGGCAAGAGAGGACAGTATTGAGATGTCATTAAAGTGCTATATTTTGTATGGAATGTGAAAAAGTAATTTCTTGGTAAGTCAAGATTATGCACAGTTTTGATTTTTTTTTTTTTTTTTTTTTTGTGGCACTTTTTCAGTGTTTCTTATCACTTCTCAATCCATTCAAAAATATCATTACTACCTTAGTAAAATATAGCAGCTTTACCACTTTACCTTACAAAAAAGTAGAAACTTATGTTTGTAGGAAATGTGGTTTTGTATGGAATTACAGATAACTGTGCATTTTATGCACAAAGCCGGAAGTGTTTTGCCTTACATTTTCTGATGCCCTCTTCACATTTAGATACCAGAACATAAAATATAATTTAAAATTAAAGTGCTTTAATAAACTTTCTTTTAACTTCTCCCACTCCTGTAGTGTCACACATACGTATAACCTGTGCATCACGGAATGATTCTGTAACAATAGATAGCCTAGTTCTTCATAGTCATGGGTTGTAAAATAGAGTATGTATTAACTGAATTGAGTTAGTCCTTAAACTGAGAAGACTTAGGCATACACTATCAGGACAGATGACTCTGCCAGCTTTTAAACTTAAATTGTAAGGTTTCTAGCAGCTCTACTGGTCCTATTCTTGCGTCGAGTACTTCTTTCAACCATGTCCATTTTGGGGGAAAGCTCATCTATTTTTCTTTCTTTATACTTAGCCTTGGTAGTTCTCTTACTTTCTGTTCTTATGTTTGTTTTTCCTGATCTTCAATATGAAGATTTAAATTTATTTTTTAAATATACCTTTTTAAAGAAATAGTGCCTGCTAGATATTGCAGGTAAACTCTTCACTGGCATCCCAGTTACGAAAGTATTTGCATTGTAAACCCAGAATTCCTTCTCTGATGTACAAGGCATCTGGAACAATCCATGGCAATAAACTATTTTATTTCTAGTTACAAACCATGTTGAATAGTACTTAGGGTTTTGTGGTTTTTCCTCACCCCCCATCATTCAAGCTTTAACTGATATACAGCTACTAACCCAATGGCTGCATGTCTAATCTTTCTCTATTGGGGCTTTATAATGGTATCTATAGTGGTATTTATATGTCTATATATGGTGCTTTATAGTAAGACATGTCCGACCTGAGTGCTTGCTGTGAAAAATCTAGAACGGTAGTGAAACCTTTAATCCATTTGAGTAAGTTTGGCTAGGCTTGGTGGTTCTCCTTTTCCAGACAGATTCGAATACAGCAAGTCCTTGGGTAGCTTTTAATACTGTTTCATGAAACCTAGATCATTTAGTATAAAGTGTTTATTTCAGACCCTTGAAGGCAGAAATCAGTGAAAAATACTGATTCTTATGAATCGTATTGTTTGATCTGTACCAGTGGTGCACTTTATCTTTTAGCATCTTGTTATGCAACTTACAGTATTGATTAGAAAACCCTGAGATGTCTTCCATTCTTCATGGTTTGTTCAGACAGTTAATTTTACCGTTATATAGTTACATCTTAATTTTAGTGTGGATTTATCTAGTTTTAGCTCTCAGTTGGTCATTATTAGCATTTTTCTGTGCTTAAAAAAAGAAGTTTCATTTGTCTGCAGATTTTCTTTATATAGAATGTTTCTTTAGCCCTTAATTTCTGTGTATTTTCTGTAATCTACTTAGTTTTCCAATGTAGCTGTAAGTATTGAACCCTGGATTTGTATGTAGTGTTCTAATGTTTGTCATCTGATTATAAAATCACATTTCTTCTAATATTACTATTCTGTTTACAGAATCATAGATTACCTTAGTTCCCATTGCTCTGATAGCTCGTTTCAGATTGCTTGTCCACCATAACTGCAAGCTCTTGCATCAAAGGTTCCTTGCACACAGTACCTCATAAGTGCAAATATGGCATAAGGTTCTTAAGTGTAATTTTAAAAAATTCTTTTGATTTGATGGGTTCAGACTACCAGCCAGTCCATATTCCTACTTCTTCCTGTACTTCCCTCTTCACTGTAAGCCATTTCGACCAAATTTATGTAATCTAGCACTATACTGAAGGTGACTTTACATTTAGTTCCAAATAATTGACAAATACCTTGGATAATTGTATTTAGTATTAATCCCTGCCAAAATGCAGTGTTCACATGCCTGCTCAGTAATGATTTGCTGACAGGCAGGTTCAGAGAGAATTAATTCATATAATGCATGCTTTTTTGGTTGGCGTGGGTGTGAATGTTCTGATCACTTAATTGTTACCTCTGAAGCCTAATTATGGCAAACTAAGTATCATCTGTTTCACTGACTGTTTTGGCAGGCCTGCTGAAAGGATTTTGAACTTTCAAGCTTGTGTGCTTTTTCCAATTGTTTCAACTAGGCTATGTGATGCCTCTTTCTACAAAACTTGCTTCAGATTTTATGGAAAATATTCCATTAATTTACAGGGTTATGAGGCTCATTTGAAAGCTGCTTACATGTTTCATTATATGTTTGTTGGAAGGCAAGTTAGCTCTCAAATATTGAAGGTTTATTTCTAACCTTTTCATATTGTGTGGATGAGGTATTTTGGTGGAATAGGAAGTTTTGGGGAGGATCGATACTCAAAGAAAAGGATGAAAGACATCAAACCCCACAGCTTGTGGAAAAGTTTTTTATAGTTTGAGAATATATTCATCACTCCGCATGTTTTTTGTCAGTTTGCTCAAAAATAAACTAGCCTCTAGGTCTCAGTATAACAGATATATATATATATATCTGTCTCTAACTCGTGATGCATCATGTAATCCCATTGACTTTATTATGAGTACAAAAATGTATATATTTTAAACATATGTTTGCCCTATATTTGCATTAATTTTGAATATAGTTTGCTCCATTTTTTTCAATAGACTGTCAAAGCCGTAGTATAATTTTTTCCAGACTTTTGGGTCTATTGTATTCTATCTGACTGTGTTGTACGTGCAAGTGAATTTATCTGTAGTGTTAAACAAATTTTAATGCTTTAATGCTTTGGTTGTCTTGCATAGTTACATTGGTAAGTGAACAACGTTGAAAGAAAAGGAGATCTCAGTGCAGTATCTTATGACTTTCCAAAAAGATATTTGCTGTCTACCTCTGTGTGTGTTCATATTTCTTGCTTATAAACATCTGAGATATGAGTCAGTTTGTCCCTTTTCTTTCTGTGATTTACAAGACATCACTGTCCTTTTTTTGACCATGTTTTGTGAACTCTTGTTCATGCTTAAAGTTAAAGCTTAGAAACCTTGCAGAGAGAGGGAGCTCCAGCTTGATGTGTCATACTTACTTTGCAACAGTTCAGCACGTCGTTTTGTTTTGTATCTTTCTATATGAAGTGGTCAATTTTTCTGTGAGAAATTCTCTGAATTCTTTACATTACATCAAGTGGCAGGTAAAATCACTATATGCTTTTCTGAAAACTCTAAAATACGGACCTCTGATATTTATTATGGAAAAAGCACCACTGTTTTATTACATGGTACTGAATCCAAAATGCTAGCTGATTCCTTATGGTTTGAAAATGACAGCTGATATATCTTAAAGCAAATAACCATTAGCCAGATACTATTAATTCTGCCACTGATAAAATTAATGTAGTAACAATGTGGAAAGACTAATGAGAAAGGTCCAAGTATCTGATTATGAGCAAGTAATTCATCAAACTTCAAACCCCAGATCATGGCACCATAAACTAATAAAATGTATAGCCGGTACTGGAATAGTATTGGAGGCATTTAGAAACATGAAGTCCTGTACTTTAAGAGACTTAGCTAATTGTTATCTGTTAAAGTCTAGGGATCCCAGTGATGGGTATGTTTATATGCTGTTCAAACAGGGGACAAGTTATATCTCTCTTTTTACTCTAAGTTGTTAAATACACAGTCAAATTTAGTCTTCTGGTAAAGAACTTGTTAGATCTAAAGGTGGAAGATACTCAGAAAATTAGTATAATTGGAGTACAAATTCATCAAATGACAAACCAAATTTTTTTTCTGCCACAGAAGGACTGAAACACTGTAAAAATCATAAATCATGTAAAATACTGATCATTTTACATTGGAGTGGTAGATGTCAAACAATTTCCATAGTGTTTATGATCTTGGATTATCCAATTATTTTCTGCTGTTACCTGTTTTTTTAATTTAATAAACTAGAAAATTTGCTACACTGTAATTTGGCAATTAAAATACATAACATTCTCCAGAAATAGTGGTGAAAGCAAGCTATTCATTTACCCTATTGAGCTTGAAGTCAGGCACTGGTTTCACTAAGACTATTTCTCTCCGCTACATTTAGTTGTATGAGCAACAGTAACTGATCATAGTTAAGGTTCACTGAATATCCGTGCCCATACAGTGGTCAGATTGTGTCTCCAGTGAACAGTGAGTAGGCTGTTACAAAACTGGGAGTAACCTGTGAATTTTTTTCTGTATGTTTTCCCTGAATTTCAGTTAGGTTTATATACAACAATACTAGAAAAATATTTGAGACTGGAGGAGAAAATTGCATTTTAAAGGCCTGTTCTGTTACAGCAGATGGCCGCATAGTTTAAACCCAGCACCATTAGAAGATGACACTAAGTATTAAGGGAACATTCGTGTTTCAAAACTCTGAATCACAGCTGCAGTTGTGGCTACTGTCAGCACCATCAAACACATCTTTGCTTTGGGTTGTGGTGGTGGCAGCAGTACCAGCTTCCTGGCTGTCAAGCCTTAGCAGATGTGGGATTCAGCTGCCTTAGGCCTCATCTGTTTGGAAAACCTGATCCTCATTCTCTTCAGGGAAAGCACCAGGTCAGTTTGGGAGTGTCTTTTGGGCTGCCATTTGAATTGCTGATAATGAAAAGATGACATGAGAGAGGTTTTCTTCCTGGGTATCTGCTGTGGATCTCTGTTGTTTGGATGAAATTGTTTCAGTGATCTGTTTTGCTTTCTCCATCTTCACCTAAAAGAACAACAGTACTCTGCTGCCTTAAGTTGAGGTTTCATAGTGTACCTCATTACCTCTGAACATAACTTCTGAACTTCACCTATTTAAAATACTTTATGATGTTACTGGTAAACCATTTTTATGTGCTGCACTATTCTAAAAAGTGGCTTTCAAAAATCCTGAGATAAAACTCTTCTCAATGGGTTATTGAGAGCCCGATGTCAAAGGTACAGTGGCTTCAGTTCTGCTTATTTTTTGCAATTCAATATGACAACCATTGTGGTATGTAAGGGATATCCTGAACTCCTTCACCTTTTTGTATATTCATGGGAGACTGTAGAGACAAGTTTTTTAATTCTGGTTGAGTGCTTGTTTGAGGTTGTACAGCCATCTTCTCTAGGTGGAATTTCTCGTTCCTTTGATAGCAGGGTTTCTTATCTATGTTAGGTCTTCCTCTCTCACTTAACTGCCTGAAGAAAGCCTAGATACCATCTTTGATACCTCATTTTAAAGTAGGGTGCAGTGTCTTCTGGAAAGACTGTTACAAAATTACTTTTAAAACTACAGAAAGAACCCAGATGACCTATTTGCAGGCTAGGCCCTTCATTTTTAAATGTTAGCTAGATGCATTCAGGCATTAACTTTTTGCATATTTTGAGAGGGAAAATTAGCAAACAGTAGCTGATGGGGTGCAAGATACAGGAAAATCCAACTTTCTCGGTGTGTCTCCACTGTTAAGTAATTCCAAATGAATACACACAGTGTGCATGTTTATTTGCAGGATTGAAATACAGTAGGGGAAATTGTCATTTAAGGTAACTTCCTAGGATATTTTTGCTGGTATATGTGCTTGCAGTAAATAGCTGGTGAAGCCATTGTTACTTATCCTTGCATATCTTAACTCTGACTCCAGAAGCTATTAGATATGCAACTGTGGAGAAGAATGAGATAATGGTTAATATATGTGACTTGACTATAAAAATTACCTTTTGAAATAGATAAAATAATTTTGCACCAGTATTGTCTTTAATAACATCTGAACAATGAGAGAAATGCGGGTTAACGCTTTTGGGCTTTCTTTTAGTTTTGTTTTTTTTTGGGGGGGAGTATATGTAATTTCATTATATTGATGATGCATAAATATAGAATGATGCTAAAAAAAATTCAAATACAAGTTTTCACTTAATATTTCATTTAGTAATTTGACAGTTACAAGCAAAGTTAGAGATACTTCATAAAAACAGGTCTCTGAACAATGTACATTTAAAAGCTTAGAAGATCAGTAGTCATTCTGTTAAATATTTCTGTATGAATTTCCTGTTCTTTTTGGACTTTTAAGAGGTACTATGAAATAGTTCTCTCTCCATTTTCAGTTTTCTTAAATAGTCAGTTCCTAGGAGTTTGTCAAGTCTGTGGAGTCTTTTCACTGTGCTGTTCCTGTACAAATACTGTTAGGAAAATGAATTCTACCTCAGAGTCTGTAGGGAACAGTCTTTCTGTCATCTTTAGGAATTTTTTTAAGAAGGTTTCCATGGAAAAAAATAGACATTTCTCCTCTGATGCTCAGAAAAGTATTAGGGCATGGTAGCAAAGGCAGATAAGCTAATCTAATGGCCCACTGCTGCTGAGAAGCATGGTTCTCCTTTTCCTTGCCCACCACTTTTAAATGACTTGGATTTTTTCGTTTGAGTGTAAAGGAATAATTTTCTACTAGATTAGTAAATTGAATTAGTTTGCTAAGTGGATGGATGACTGTTGAAGCACGAATAGAAGAGAGAAGAGCACGTAAGCACGCAGTAGAGAGTAGAAAGGTTGAGGCACAGTAGAACTTTTCTCTTTTGGCTGCAGCCAGCCATTAGATCAGCTCCCTTTGGTTTAGTAGCATCCTGCTATTGTGAATATGGCATATTTTTAAAACAATTAGAAAAAAACAGGAGTCCTACTTGGCATACCTGAAGTTTCTGGATGCTTTCTGAGTGTTCAGGCTTCTTTTTCTGATCCTCATCCTCTTGTCTTTCTTCAAGTTTTGGCAATTTTCAATCAATCTTAAATCTTTCTTTTGAGATCACCTTATATAGCAGATAGGTTTTCAGTTGCTGGGGTTTAGGTGGTGGTTGTTGTCATCCTCCTTCCTGTCCCCTAAATTTGCTGCTCCCATTTAATGAATTTGAAGGACAGAGAGAGAGCAGAAAACAGTGGTTAGTTTGAGAAATGAGGTCCAACACCTAAATTTTCCTAAATTTGTAAGGGCTAGAACAGAGTTATTTGTAGTTACAGAAATCTGGGAACAGAGAAGCTATCTACTGACTCAGCAGCTTTTACTCAGCATAGCTGATCGTAAAGTAATACAAAATTGTCTGAAACTCACCTTTCTACCTTTGCCATTTTCTTTGAAGCCAGCTTGACTTTTGAAATCTTTTAACAGCTCCCTATGCTTTTGTCTCTACTAACCTTAATTGCCAAGTGGTGTAGGAGTAATGAGCCAACTGTGATTTTGAGGGGCTCCTCATATGGCCCTTTAAGGCATAGTTCAGATAGAAGAGGGTCTAAGTGGGTACATTGTGATTTATTTTTCTTAAAAATATAATTATTATGCAAAACTCTGAATTCTCTTTTTATCACAGAAATTGAAGTCCCTTTCTCAGTGGAAATTTTAATTTGGCATTAAGGGTTGAGTAGCTAAGCCTGCTTCTGAATTATACTTCATATAATAATGCTGTATTAGTAGCATTACTATTTTCTTCCTTTTTACTTTTCTGTAGAGGAGAAGAAGTCTAAAGTCAAGAAACCAAAATCTGAATTTCCTATATACACGGTTCTGGAGTCAAGTGCATACATACCATCATATGATCATGGAGCTTCAATTGAAGAGATTGAGGAGCAGATGGATGATTGGTTGGGAGGCAGGAACAGAACACAAAAAAAGAAGGTAAGTTAAAAATCTTTCATGTTGTTACATGTTTTAAATGTTGATTCATTTGCTTGCTTTTTTAAGAAAATGAAATATTGTGTGTGTACCACCACAATATTCATATGCCATTGAAGTCTAGAGAAGTATTAATTGTCAGGCAGAGACATAATGGAAAAGATTATATTGAAGTTCAATGTAATTTGTATAATGATACTGGAAATGTTGTTATAATAGGATGTCATTGATTAAAATATTTGAAACCTCTCTATGGTTTCTAGTATAAATACTGTTCTTGCTCACTAGAAATTAGTATAACATAATGCAGTCAAGTTTTATGAGGCTTGGTTCTTTCTCTTAATTGCAGTTAATAACGTTTTGCTTGCAAGAATAGATTCTTCTCTATTAAAAAAAAAAAAAGGGGGGGGGATAAAGAAAAAAAGAAACATTTGCTTCTTAATATCCAGGTGTAGTATCTTTTGATTATGGAGCTGCTTATGTACTTTGTGCATTTCATCTGACTTATGCAAAAGTCTTAACAATTCAACTTAGGCCTATTGTTAATGTTGTTTCTACTTAGATATAATGGTTCTTAGTGGCAGTGTAATTATCTTCTGATAAATTTTATTAAAACATACTGGCTTGAAAATTCACAGTTTTCATTTTAGAACTGAGGTACAGAGGTGACAAATGTTATAGATTGGTCTCCTGACTTGAAAATCTGACTTGCTTGAAAGACTGAAATGAGAAGAATGGTGTGTTTGGAGTGGAGTTAGGGCAACACATTGACTTCAGCATCAAAACAATGAAAGAAGTTCCTGCTGCCATTTGCTTGATTCATCTGTGCTGCAGATGTGCTTACTCTGTTATTTTCAAACCTGTGAAAAAAACTCCCTCCCATTTTTAGGCAGACCTAAAATTTTTACTAAAATAATTTGAATTTTGCATAACCTGTTTAATCATCTGCCACTGTTGAATTCCTAAGCTTCACGACTTCCTAGTTGTCAGTTTTCTCTTGCTGTTACTTTTGTCTTTCTATATTACTTAGGACATCTACATTATGTTTACTTTTATATTTCTGTAAGAAATCCATTCTGCAAATGTACGTAGCTTTTGACTTCTGTGTAAGGGATTGACGCTCTGAATCTTTAAACACTGGAGCCTATTTTCACACACTTGGGGCAAGTAAAAACTCAGGTCCTTGATTCTGTAGATGAGTTGCCCAGGAGGTAAGAGCATATATAGTCATTGCTTTGTTTCCCTTAACTCAAGAAGCACCCGTGGATTGGATTCCTGTTAGCTGTATCTCTGTGAACCAGCTTTGCTTACCAGGCTGCGTGGGCAAATGATTAAAGGAGAAAAGATGTATGTTTATTTACAGTAGCTTGGGTTGTTTGCATGCTTGACTACCTGGATCCTCAAATTCACCTTCCCCTCTAATGGAAACTCTTTCTTTGGATTTCTATGAAAATGAAGGAATTGAATAAGACTGGGCCTATTCCATCTGTAATTTTACACATCCTACAGAGAGTATATAGAAGTTGTGTCTTCAGAGACACTGCTAAGAGAACAAGTTGTAGGTACATTCTTTCAGAAACAGGAGTCACAGAAATTAAAATATACCAAAAAATTGCTATTAAAAGCTAAGTAATTTGTATTTCTACTTACACCTGGACATTTACTATTGCATCTCATCACTTTAATTTGTGAGGGTTTTTTTTGTTTTTTTTTGAATATATTCTGTTACAAACAGGGGACAAGCAGGCAATTTGCAGGTATACTGTCTGGGTAAAGTGTTTGACCTGAACAGACTGTGATGCGGTGTGCTTCCTTTCCTTGACAGCTAATATGTTACCATAATGCAACATCGACATTTAATACAGTAGTGGAGAGAAACAGATTCATATACTGTACAAAGAAATGGAGAATATATGTTACTGGCTCTAGTAGCTTGTAGGAGTCATTTGTATGTCAATATGAGAATGCCTGTGTCATATGATTTGCAGTAAGCTCACTGGAAAAATGGCTGTACCACAAGTAAATTGTTCCTAACTGTCATTCGACACATTTTCCATTTTAGAAAGATGTATTTTCCTCCACTACACATCATAGATGTGAACTGGGACAGCATCCCTCTTCTACCTCCCTATTCTGCTTCTTGCATGGATGTGCAATAAAGTGGTGTGTAACATTCACCTCTCAGTTCTTCTTGTCTTAGGAAAAAGTCACTCTTCTATAAATCATTTTGTCATCAGAATTTTTCTTGGGATTGTCATACTTCACTCATGAAAAAGCTTGTTAGCTTTTTTTTTTTCATTTTCTTTCATGATAGCTCAGGGATGTGGACTATGTACATCTAACCAGGCTTGATAGCAGTTATCTGTGTGAAAAGGTCAAAGTAGCTTGATAAAGTAGTATGTTACAATGTCATTCATCTAGAAATAAGGAGTTGGAGTTGGTGTCCCTGATGTTTGTATTGCGCTTGTTGATGATTACAATTAATTTAATATTGCTCATGAACTGCTTTGCACTGTTGACACTCATACTTTAGGAGGTGCCCGTAATCCATAGACTAGTGGTTTGGAAGTGCTGTACCATGCAGAGTGCCCAGTTTGATAATAATTTATATTATGTGCAGTTGTTAGTTTGACGGCGGTCCCTGTGATTTTATTTTATTTTTAATTCTTTTTTTATTTAAATACATGATGATATTTAAATGCTTAGGTCCCTTTCATTTTGATGTTTTGGTTTTTGGTTTTTTTGAAAGCTTTAATGGCTCATGGGCTACAGTCCTGTAAGCTGTTTACTATTGTTTCTTCCAGTTTGGAGGAGTGCATTTGCACTCTTTGGAAGAGTGAATTTGGAAGTCTAAGGTTATGAATTTAAGTGCATCAAAGTTGTATAAAAGAATAATTCAGATTTTTATTGTTCCATCTGCAACAGGAATCCACATATTTTTCTGACAGATATTTAATCTAAGAATTAGAATTATCATAGACTAACTAGCTCTGTTAAGTAGATTTGCAACCATGGAGAAGATATAATGGCTTTCAGAAGTACTATTGTTTCATTAAGGTTACATAAGAGCTCTGCATCTTATTTGTAGAGCAAAAGTGTGGCTTTGGCACTACAGAAGAATAAAACAACATTTTTCTTTGTAAAATAAATATTACTAATCATTGATTATAACTGGAATTCTGTATTTTATAAAGAAAAAAGTATACTTGTGTTTCTGTCAAGGATTTGATGAATTTATAATTAGTGCCTTCAGAGGCCAGTGTCCTGGGCTTCCAAAAAAAAAAAAAAAACACTAAAAAAAAAAAAAAAAACACACACAAAAAAAAAAAACACCAAAAAAACCCAAAAACCACAACACAAGTTTTTGCTGATCTTATCAGTATGATAAGTCAGGAGGTATAGGAATAGAGTGCAGCTTGTGAGTAGATATTGTAACTGAATAGTAGAAAAAGATAAATGTTGATGTAAAGAAATAGGTCAAGAGGAATTGGGCAGAGAGCCTGGAATTAAGATTGATCATGATCTGGAGATAGCTTTGGAATAGAATTATAGAATTATAAAATCATAGAATAGTTTGGGTTGGAATGGACCTTTAAAGGTCATCCAGTCCAACCCTCTGCAATGAGCAGGGACATCTTCAACTAGATCAGGTTGCTCAGATCCCCGTCCAACCTGACGTTGAATGTTTCCAGGGATGGGGCACCTACCACCTCTCTGGACAACCTATTCCAGTGTTTCACCACCCTCACTGTAAAAACTTCCTTTCCTATATCTAGTCTGAATCTACCCTCTTTTAGTTTGAAACCATTACCCCATGTCCTATCACAACAGGCCCTGTTAAAAAGTCTGTCCCCATCTTTCCTGTAGGCCCCCTTTAAGTACTGAAAGACCCCTATAAGGTCTTACCAAAGCCTTCTCTTCTCCAGGCTGAACAGCCCTAACTTTCCCAGCCTGTCCTCATAGAGGAGGTGCTCCAGCCCCCTAGTCATCTCCATGGACCTCCTCCGGACCCCCTTGAGCATGTCCATGTTCTCCTTATGTTGGGGGCCCCAGAGCTGAATGCAGTACTGCTGGTGGGGTCTTATGAGAGTGGAGTAGAGGGAGAGAATCATTTCCCTCGACCTGCTGGTCACACTTCTTTTGATGCAGCCCAGGATATAGTTGGCTTTCGGAGCTGCAAGTGTACATTGCTGGGTCTTGTTGAGCTTCTCATCAACCAACATCCCCATGTCCTTCTCCTCAGGGCTGCTCTCAATCCACTCATCACCCAATCAGTATTTGTGTTTGGGATTGCCCTGACCTATGTGCAGGACCTTGTACTTGGCCTTGTTGAACTCCATGAGGTTTGCATGGGGCCACCTCTCAAGCCTGTCAAGGTCCCTCTGGATGGCATCCCTTCCCTCCAGTGTGTTGACCACACCACACAGCTTGGTGTCATTGTCAAACTTGCCGAAGGGTGCACTCAATCCCACTGTCCATGTTGCCAACAAAGATGTTTAAGAGCACTGGTCCTGATACCAACCCTTGAGGAGCGCCACTTGTCACTGGTCTTCACTTAGACATCAAGCCATTGACCTCAACTCTTCGAGTGTGACCATCCAGCCAATTTCTTATCCACTGAGTGGTCCATCTGTCAAATCCATGTCTTTCCAATTTAGAGACAAGGATGTCATGTGGGACAGTGTCAAATGCTTTGCACAAATCCAGGTAGATTACACCAGTTGCTCTTCCCTTTTCCACCAGTGCTGTAACCCTGTCGCAGAAGGCCACCAAATTTGTCAGGCATGATTTGCCCTTAGCGAAGCCATGTTGGCTGTCACCAGTCCTTATTTTCCATGTGCCCTAGCATAGTTGCCAGGCAGATTCACTTAATGATCCTGCTGGGCACAGGAGACTGACTGGCCTGTAGTTCCCCAGGTCTTTCTTTTTTTTTCTTTTTTAAAAATGGGAGTTATGTTCCCTTTTTCCAGTCAGTGGGAACGTCACTGGACTGCCACGACTTC